ATGGCACAAGCTCAGCACCTTTTCTGCATCAGCTCTCCAGGTCTCACAAGCCCAGCAAGTCATCCCAGGGACGTGGCCTCAGCACTGTTTGGGACCCTCACATTACTCAGAGGCATCTCAGTATCCAGTGAAGCTATTGACTTCCAAAAGGTACAAGCAGCTACGGTATTTTATACTTTGAAGTCTTTATCGTTCTTTCTCTATGCTCAACCAGCTGCAGCCAGGTCTTTAATGCCTGTCTTCTGGGAAAGAAGCACTCTGCTCCTTTAATACATCACCTCTTTAAATTCAAGAGTCTGTGGTTTGGGTATAGGTGTCTGTCAGCAGTGGATTGCCCAGAGAACAAAATTAACACCATCTTTCAGTGGGGGAAGGGAAATAGCACACAAGTGATTTCACAGGTTATTCTGTGTAGAAAACTCAGCCTTTTAACAGTGAGTTAACTTTTAACTGAGGAACTCTCCTGGTCCGAATAGGGATGACAGCAACTGGCTCGTATCACCAAAAGCATTCTGTCTAACTATCTCGTAGGCAATACACACAACCAGTTCAGCACAGCCAAAGTCCCCAAACAGCATTAGTTGGTTGGCTTGCTGATCCCCTCCCCAAAATACGTAATGGTGCCCGAGATCTCTTGGACGTGACTATTTCATTGACGTTTCCCATGACTCCCGGCTGGTAAGGCACATAGAGTCTTCACAGCAGACACACGCAAGAGAAAGTACTTTATTTCTTTTTGCTCTACTTTCTTTCCCCATTTGCTTTATGTCAGGTGACATGCACCAAACAACACACTTGAACTATACCATCTCACTTGAAAAATAAAACCATAATTGAATCATAGTACAAATTCTCTACGGACTATCCAAGGTACACTATCACATGATCTCTCCAACTCTTAATGGTACTCATCATACTGGCAATTTTATTTATGTTTAGCGTATGCATGGTTTTATTCTGAATTGGCACATGTCTTGGTTTATTATATCTACTCTTTTTGAAAGTCAACAGAAGTCCTAAGCTAAAAAACATATAGTGAACATAGAGAACTCCGAAGACAATGACCACCTAAGATGAGAAGGCAACTCTGTCACACGTCAACACAAAACCACGTAGAACTGAGAAACAGCAGTAGTCTTGTTTATGGGATGCAAGAAAGAAGAGCAAAAAAGAATTGTTTATAGGAGGAGATAGAGGGTCAAGTAAGTTACTCCTTACAACTCTCTTATCAGACAATTAAGAGACGCACGGCATCGTATTTCTAGAAACACAGGCTGAAGTCCATCTAACTCAGACATTTGACCAGAATATCTGACCTTTTCTGGACTCTATTCCTCTGTTACCTGCAGTCACGAACTTTCTGACTGATGGAAAGTAGTGAGAAATTTGGAAAGCAAGCTACTGAATGTGAAAAGCTAAGGTGGGTCCTGATATTAAAAAAGAAGGAAAAAAAAGAAAAAGCTGAAAGTCATGCATGGCAGGTTTTTTTAAGCTCACAAAACTTTTGGCGTTGTTCAGAACTTACTTATAACTTCAAGGTCCAAACTGTATGTGTATTTTTAAAGTTACAAAATTACAGTACCTTTGTTTAAATTTTGTATTACTGAATTAAGTTTTGAAGAAAAGGGCAATAATAATAAAAAGCCCAAAAGATATTTTGCATTAAATGTAATTAAATCAGATCCCTGTTGAAAAATAATCATTTTTTTAACCAGTCCAGTGGCCCAAAAATGATGGGAATGATGCCTAAGTGACCAGGAAAAAATCCCCTTGGCAGAACGGGTCCTTAGAAGGCGTGATTCTTAACTTAGCTGAAGTGATCTTGGGTCAGTAACAACTATATGTCACTGCAACAAGTGAGAAGCAACTGCTGGCTCAGACCCAGAATTTGGAAACACAGGGGTAGGTTTATAGCTCCCACAAGTCTCTCAAAGGAGCCTGTGCCATGAGCACGCTCAAGCCCTAGCATAGGACTTGCAGGTACTGATCTACACAAACACTAGGTGGAATACTAAAATAATTTTTAAAAAGAAAATTTACGTACAGCAGACATTTTCCTTCTCAAAATGCGTCACATGTCTATGCTACAGGTTCAAAAATCACAGAGAACTTCAACATGGAAAGTAGTCGTCTGTGGGCTTATGGTACACCACATATGACATAATATTCCTCTCAAAGGTACCTAAGATTTTGCAAAAACCCCTCTCTTCTTTAAAGCTCCATGAGATATTTAAAGAGCCGTAAATTCTTCTCCTGCAGTTGTTTTTAACTTCCGTGGTGGTTTTTTGTGTCCAACCAGTGGAAATGCTTTAAATTGCATCTCCATTTCTAATGGCCCAAATGGATTTTTAAAGCATCTGAACTGTCCCGACAGGGGTCTGACGAATGCAGAAGACCTCTGGCCACAGACCATGGGCTTCCCCACAAGATATTCTTCCTCTGAGAAATACAGAGTTAATGACAAGAAAAAACACGGCTCTGCTGTTTCTTCATCTTAATTGTCCAAGTCATATAAAACCGAGAGCACAATTATATCATGTTTCTGTTCTATGAGAAAAGAATGTAAATGCAATTATATCAGAATTATCCCAGACAAGAGAAAACCTGAACTACTAGAACTACGTGTTTCACAACAGGACTACAAAGCCAACCTCTTTTCCAGATACCATTCATCATCTCTAAGAGACAAGTAGCCAGAGCAACTGAGAGAAATGGAAATTTTTAATGCAGGAAAGTGAATTCACATTTACACAGAATCTGTAAAAACACATATACCTGACAAATTAATTTGCTGACAACTTCATTGTGGAGCTTTCTTTAAGTAAGTAGAGTAGCAGGTATCAAATTCGGACATAAAAGGTACCTTACGAGGGCCAAAGGATCAAAATTGGCTGGGCTGACTATATTCATGAAAATTATGTCAGATAAAGTCACCCGACGTTGTGCTATTACAGGAATAGGACACAGACTCCATCCATTTGTCAGTCCCTGGCTGTGCAAAGACGTTACGTGATGATTACGTGCCAAAAGGGAAAACAGTATTGATGCAGCAGGCAGCAACTAGGCAAGGGGTAGATGAGAAACTATGTGTATGTCAGTAGGAAAGCAATGTCATTAAAAAACCACAAATATGCTCCTACTAAATGCTTTACTTGCACGCTCACCTCCAAGCATAACAAAAAATGGATGCATTTTGCCCAAAGCCTGAGCAACACTAACATCAAGATTCCTTTCACCCCTTTTCTCTCGGTCTCGTAATCAAGCTGCTTTGGGTCCATGAAAAGGCAGTTGGGGGATTAATACCAACATGATTTATACTGGTGAAATTACCTTCCTCATCCCCAGCTCGTATTTTATGGCTGGACTGGCTGAGATAGGGGGAGGTCAAATGGTTTCCCCGAAGCTGGAAGAGACCTTAGAACTTATTTTGGATAGGAGTGTGGGAACCCCCTGGCTGCCTGTTATTGCCTCTACCCACTACGTAATACTGCCTTCGTGGTGCTAGTGACCAAGTTTTAACTACCAGCTGTTCTTTGGTGGGTTCTCATGGCAAAACAGGAGAAAAATATTGATAGCTCTCTGTTACACCAGCCAGAAAAGAATCGGAGAATTGAGCCCAAATCATCAGAGCTTGTAGCTTTCTGTCCTTGTTAAGCGCTAAAAAAAATAAAATTAACAAGTGATAACATATCACTTCTAACTAAAGCCTTTGAGAATCCTGTATCATTTACAGATGTTAATTAAGCTCGACATTTCTTCTGCAGTCAAGCAAGCATAATTCATTGTGTTTTCAGGGCCAGCTATTGAAATGCTCACAGCCAAGGAGCTTTGACCAAAGTATCTCGGTGGTTAAACAAAACGGTTTCTGCACGGATGACAGAAGGCAACGTGACCGCACGGTCTAACCCCTCCATTCAGACAACGGAGGACAAGAAGGCGCTCAGTATGTTAATGGCACATTTCTGGACTGGGGATATTTGAATTCTTTTAAGCCAGGCTCGAAACCCCCCCTATCCCAACACACAAGCCATCAGGAAAGCTTGGAGGTAAGCAGTGGGAAAACCAGGTCCAGCACTGTAGAACAGAATGCAATCTGAATCTGCCCGAATCTCAGGAATGAAGATACTGCAGCGTATTTCTCAGTCTTGGTTGGACTGCATATCTCATGATAGAAAGTTTAACATTTTTCTTCCATCTTGAAACAAAAGGAAACTAAAGGCTGCTTCAATCACACCTTGAGACATCAGTGCACTGATACAAAAATTTAAGGTTTTCTTAGCTAATGGAAGCTGAGATAAACCCATAGAAAAACAATCTTCAGTAATGCTGACAAGAATCAAGCATCTTCATACTGTAACCAAATATAACGATGCAGCTACTTTTTACTGCCACGATCCTTGCAAACCACAGATCATACAGATGTCAAAGTAAAAATGCTGGTGACCTAAGGCATATTTTACACCCAACGTCTAAAGATAAAACACAGTTTTATATGATGCTAGGATGATAACCAAGGCACTTTTTTCCCATTTAAACCGCATTTGGAAACAGCTTTGCTATTTTTCTTGCAAATTAGGATGACTTCAGAATTTGAAATTCACTCTAAAAGCAACCCTGTAAATCATAGTGGCACTAACGGAAAAGATACACGCATACACACGTTGCCTGAAACAACCTCAGCTTTCGTCTGCAGACAGTTGCAGTGCACAATGAGTCATAAGCAATAACCATTTACTGCTACAGATAAGGCAGGGGCAACAAACACTACTTGTTTGACCAACAAAATCTTGGCCTAGGTGTGTTCATCTCATGTTTAATTCTGAGACACATTCCCTGACAGAAAGCTCTGTGGGTTATATTACTGGATATATTACGGTACAGCTGATATTTGGCCTTTCTGCCAGCTTGTCTGAGCAAGTAAACAGTGCCGTGAATTTTCAAAGGAAACAACAGCTCTGCTGCCCACATCCTCCTGCTGTACAGTGCAAAGCCCCACTTACGTCCTGAGTACTGTTTTGGATTCGGAGGAATTCTGGCTTCCAACTTCTTCACAGCTTGAGGTCTCCAGGTTTCCATACCTGAAAAATGAGATGGGTGTTTAGAGGAACCTCTACTAAATAAAAGCAAAATCCCAAATAGCATAATTCACATACAATTATCATAACTAAAAAGTGTTTCTAGCTCAAACTACAAATATGGAATCTAACAGTTGGGCAAAATTAAGGAGCTTCAAGATTATTTCCTTTAGGAGGAAAGGAAAATCCTAGAGACAGACAGTATTGTTAATTTGTGTGAAGCAGCCTGCACACAGAAGGAATCAATCCGAACAGTTACTTTCTCACAGGTCCAAGACCTTTTCTGCCCATTTTCACTCCATCCTTTCCCAGAGCAACATCCCAGGGTGCAATGAGGCTGTGACACAACCACTTTCTCCA